CTAGCTGGGGGGGGGGTGCGTTGTCTTTGAAAAATTGCCTTTTGGGGAATTACGATTTTTTTTAAAACTAGAATTCTTTACGTGGCAGGAAAGCCGTGTTTCCAAGGAACTCTGAGATGGTGGGAATTTTCCACATGCCATTTGCTTCCTCGCCACCCTCTGCCCCAGCTCCTGCTCCTTACCTCTCAATGGCCGACCAGATCTTCAGCCCATCATCCCTGTAGTAGTAGTTGGGAATGCAGTCAACCCCACGCTCTTGGATGTCCTCAGGGAAGCAGAGGGAGGCATAGGTCAGGCCGGATGTGCCCTTGGCCATCAGCACCTTGGTCCCCTCGAGCCCCAAGCCTATGGCCTGGGAAGGGACCAGAGACAGAGCCTTCAACCTCCGAGCCACCGGGCTGGGGGGCAGGTTAGAATGAAATACCGCTGAGATCTATTTCAGGGCAACCGAACGACAGACAATACGCCCTGTGACAAAGGTACCTCCCCAATATTTCGCTTTGTGTTGTACCCCAAAAGTGACTGATCACTCGCAAGCCCCAGTGTTTGACCAACCAGTCCTTAGAAACCTCCAAGGATGGAGATTCCACAGCCTCCCTTGCATGCCTGCCCCAGAGTTAACTATCTTTAGAGAGAGAGAGCTTTTCCTAATATCTAACCTAAATCTCCCTTGTTGCAGATTAAGCCCATTACTTCTGGTCCTGCCTTCAGCAGGACCAGAGAACAATTGATCACCATCCTCTTTGTAACAGTCCTCACCATATTTGAAGACTATCAGATCCCCCCTCTTGGTCTTCTTCTCTCAGGACTAAATGTGTCCAGTGTTCTTGTTTGGTTGGTTTTTTTTAACCTGGCCTCATAGATCAGGGTTTCTAAACCTTTTGTCATGTTTGTTGCTCTTTTCCGGACTCTCTCCAATTTGGTCTCCTCTTTCCTGAAGTGTGACGCCCCTCCCACCCCACCCCCTTCTCCATCTGAGGTCAGACAATGACCTCCTGTGTCGTTTACACATGACACTCCCATTAATACAGCCTAGAATTATATTACCCTTTTTCCCAACTGGGTTCCATTGTTGTCTTTTATTCCACTATAACTCCCAGATCCGTTTGAGCAGTACGACCCCCCCAGCAGCCAGTTATGTCCCACTGTGCAGGTGGGCATTGGATTTTTCCTTCCTCAATGGCGCACTTTGCACTTGTCTTCATTGAA